TAGTGTTAAAATCAGGTACCTCGGTCATATCGACCAGGTAAATCACAGAAAAGTTCTTTAATGTTTCTGCAACTGATGCCAGCACCTCTTCCATCTGAAACCCAAAATAAATTGTAAACGACCAAAACAGAATTATAAGTCCATAAATCCACATATGAATAATGAGAAATTAATCAAGCTAACAAAGCAATCGAGAAAATAACAAAACTGGACACAGCCAAACCAAGAAATGTATAGCAGTAAATTACAAATAAAATAAGCTACTATCTCTATGGAAACTGAAATTTCTTCCTCCTCTGCTGCCCCCCTCTTTGTGAACCAAACTCAGCGTCAGATAAATTATTCAACCTATTAGTTTATAACAAAACTTGAATCCCTACTATATTAATGTAAAACTATCAGAAGGCAAATATAGAACCTTCGAATGTGACTTGGAAAACTTCCATTCAAACCTTAATTGATTTTTATCAAGTTCCAATCCCAAAAAACCACCGCAAGAAGCAATTGCTACGGGTAAAAGAAAGATACCCATTCACTAATAACACTTGCAAAAGAATATTTCGAACAAGAGCAGCAATACAACCTTCTTAAAAATTAAGCAAATCAGAAATTGGAGCATACTTGTCTGCGGGAGGAGGCAACAACAAAGGCACCTTCCAAGCCGAGCCGTTCCTCGATACCGAAGCCGATGCCCTGAGTCGAAGCCGTGACTATAGCCACCTTCCCTTCAAATCTCTTCCCAATCTTCTCCATTTGCTTTCTTTCTTCTCTTTACAATTAGTTTGAGATAATAAAAATTCGAACTTTATAATCTGCCAAAGGAGAAAACAGCAGAAGAGGAAGGAATCGAAGCACCAACTATCATACTTACATGTATATGTCTCAATTAGGGTTCAGGCAGAGAATCTGTCCAGCGGTGATGGAGGTGGAGATCTGTTGATTGTCGCGAGAGAGAGGAGAGAGCGAGAGAAATTAGGGTTAAGTCGAGTGAGAAGAGTTGTCGAGAGATGGAGGCGGTGGAACAATTTTCATTGCCGGATTGATGAGGATATTTTGCAGAGAAAATAGGGCAGGAGTGCTGTAAATAGTAGGAAAATGTGTTCAACAAAACGGTGTCGTGTTTGTTGACGATGACGTGGCATGAACAGGAAAAATCGGCTCTTTTATATGTAGTTGGGATAGACACAGGTTAATTACCCACAGAAAACCAATTGGTAGTTTCGTCCTGCCAAGCCGACCACACCCTACTTTCGTACAGAGATAGGAATTCAAAGTCAACCAATGTACTTGTGACTCACTTCCCACACGTGTCCAAACTCCATTTGTTGGTCTCTTGTACAGCCAATAGATTTCGTCCAAGTGTCAGACCGCCCACAACGTGTTTTCGTGAATTAGATCTCACACAACGCCGTTTCCGCTCAAAACTACATGTCTCTCACACTACTTTCTCTTCCACTTCTTCACATTTTTCAGCTTCTGACGTTAAATAAAGCAAAGAATATTGAATTCTTTGTTGGGTACCATGAAAGTGAAATCTCTGGTAGTTCTCTCGATTTTTCTATGTTTAATTTGCGTCAAAACGGCGCTCTGTTCATCCAAAATTGAAGAAGATGAAGATCTCAAGTTCCTGGAACAAGAAGAAGTAAGCAATGCTGAATCATCTGATGATTCTCATCCTTATGGTATCCCACACGACTACGAAAACTACGACGATTTGGAAGACGATGAATCGACATATTCGGATGAGGATGGTAGTTATGATGCCCCGGTGGTTGATGAAACCCACGTGGTTCTGTTGAAGGAATCTAATTTTTCTGAGTTTATTGAGAAGAATAAGTTTGTGATGGTGGAGTTTTATGCTCCGTGGTGCGGGCATTGCCAGGCACTGGCGCCGGAGTACGCCTCGGCGGCTGCGGAGCTGAAGGAGGAAGAGGTGGCACTGGCGAAGGTGGACGCCACTGAGGAGACGGAGTTGGCGCAGAAGTTTGATGTTCAGGGTTTTCCGACTGTGTACTTCTTTGTTGATGGGGTGCATAAACCCTATCCTGGTCAACGAACCAAGTAAGTTTTTCGTGTTTATCTAGGATGAATCGCATGTTTTATGGTTTCATACACGAATTGATGAATGGAGAAACATGGTTTTATTGCTTGGATAATTTGAATTGAATTTTGTGCATTTAGGGACGGAGTAACAGTAAGAGTTTAGGGTGGACCAAATTTTAGAAAAATGTCAATAATATCTAGTAATCAAAATTTTTATACAAAATACGAGATCACCTCTTATCATGGTTGTAAATTTTTTTATTTTAATCTTATTTGATTAGTTTCTGCATCTAACGGTTTTGTAGAATGTCACAGACTAATACTTTTAAAAGTAAAATGAATTATTTAAATGGTATTAAATAGAACTGGATGTTACATAATTGCTACCATTTATGTTGTAGAGATGCTATAATTACTTGGGTGAAGAAGAAGATAGGCCCTGCTTTGTATAACATCACAATGACTGAGGAGGCTGAACGCATCTTGGCTGCAGAAGAAAAAATAGTTTTGGGTTACTTAGAGAGTTTGGTGGTATGACTTCTATTGCTGTTCAAATTGTCGTAGTATTTTAGAGACTTTCATGTTCTATTTACTACTCATTTCCCCCCAAATATTACAGGGTTCAGAAAACAAGGAACTTGCAGATGCTTCAAAGCTGGAAGATGATGTTAACTTCTACCAGACGATGAGTCCTGATGTGGCAAAGCTCTTCCATATTGATCCCAAAACCAAACGCCCAGCTTTGGTCATTATTAAGAAAGAAGCTGAAAAAATTAACTACTTTGGTTAGTTACCTTTGTCTTTATACATTTTGGCAGTCGAAGTTTCTTTAACATCACTTTTAATAATAATCTCTTATTATTATACAGACGGTCAGTTCACTAAATCAGCAATTGCTGAATTTGTCTTTGAGAACAAGCTTCCTCTTGTCACCAACTTTACTCGAGAAAGTGCTGCACTGGTATTTGAGAATCCAATTAAGAAACAGGTGATACATGTTAATACTAGTTTCAAAATATACATTTTCTATCTTCCTTTTTTCTGTTCTGATTCGTGGTTCCTTTCTCGATCGCAGTTGATACTATTTGCTACTTCCAACGATTCAGAGAAAGTTTTGCCCACATTCCAAGAGGCGGCAAAGGCTTTCAGGGGAAAGGTGACTAGTCGGTTTTTATTATAATCACAAAAATTACAATCCACATAAGATCTTTAAATTAGCTGTTAATCTTTTCTTAGGAGAAGGGTGATTGTAAGTAAAGCTAGTTTAACCTTTTGGATCGAATGGAAATTTACATAAATTTGTAAAGTTTACTATAAATATTTGCTGTAAGTTGCCATGAATGCTCGTGGAGCATCTCTCTGATTGTTAAATATACGTTTTTCTTGCTAACATTTATTATTACGAAGACTTTTATGAATAAAACTTCTTTCTAGATACTGAGACTATCTTTGTTCTTTAAGAAGGTTGCTTCTATAGCATCTTCTTTGGTGCCGGTTGGATTCTAGTTCATCCCAAGCTTTTTGTTGTTTACTTAATAGAATTTATTATTAATCGTCTTGCAGCTCATATGTGTTTTTGTGGAGTTGGATAATGAAGATGTTGGAAAACCAGTTTCTGAGTACTTTGGAGTCACTGGAGAGGCTCCAACGGTAAGTTCTTGTTATATTGACTGTGAGATGAATGCACTTAATATTTCTGCTGTAAGTCCTGATCATTTTGTTATATATTTGAAGCTTTACATTTGATTACGGGACTCTTGAATGCAGGTTCTAGCATATACAGGTAATGATGATGCCAGGAAGTTCATCTTGGATGGTGAATTGACCGTAAGCAGCATCAAGGTTTGTTGCTGGCTTTCTTAACATTGTTTTATCAGAAATCGAGAGAGTACGTGCTCTAATACGTTATTTTTCATTATTTAGTCTTTTGGAGAGAAGTTTTTGGAAGACAATCTTAAGCCCTTCTACAAATCAGACCCTATTCCGGAGAACGTAAGTTTTGATCTTTTACACGTGCTGAAGTTGATTTGCATTTGTATTCTTTTCAAACAACTATATGCCTTTTGCTGGAGCAGAATGATGGGGATGTAAAAATAGTGGTTGGAAACAACTTTGATGAAATTGTGTTGGACGAGTCAAAAGATGTTCTTCTCGAGGTACTAAATCTTCCATGTTGATGGTATTGATTGTATTCACACGATATCTAGTGGTGGGTTCTGATAATTGGTTTAAAAATAGATATATGCTCCTTGGTGCGGGCATTGCCAATCACTCGAGCCTATATATAATAAGCTTGGCAAGCATTTGAGAGGTATCGATTCCCTTGTCATTGCCAAGATGGATGGCACTACAAATGAACACCCCCGAGCCAAGGTAAGTACCTTAATTTCTTGCTTACAAGACTCTGTAAGCCTTCTAGCGTTAGATAATATTGTCTGTAAAATGTTGTATTTTTTGCAGTCTGATGGTTTTCCTACACTTCTTTTCTTCCCGGCTGGCAATAAGAGCTTTGATCCGGTTAGCACTACCTCGTTTCTTTTCTATGATAACAATGTCAACCCCCACCCGACCCCCTAGTTCCAAGCTCAAGTTATTGCCAGAATTTTATTTTGATATTGCATTGCACAATAATGATTTTACATAGATTACTGTTGACACGGATCGCACTGTGGTAGCCTTCTACAAGTTCCTCAAGAAACATGCATCTATTCCGTTCAAGCTTCAAAAGCAGGCGCAAGAGAAATCCAAGGTGTCTGATGGTGCTGTGACCCTTGAGATGAGCAGCAACGATGTGAAGGATGAACTCTGAGGTTTATGCTTGTTGGTTTAGATTCTTATTTAGGTTAGATACGAAAGTGGAGTAAGAGTGTGGAGAATCCAAACGTGTCTTGTGAGTTTAGCGCAAAATTTTGATTGGATTTCTCATCGACTTCATCAAGGTTTTTCACCATTAAGTTATCATTGTATGCTTTGATCATTTAGATTTGAACACATGAAAGTAGAGAAAAATTATGGAACAGATGCAGCTCGAAGAAGCAAATCGAATAGAGAAGTGGTTGTAATTGAATACTTATTGTGAAATTAAATGTTACTGTGTCGATTAAGCCTGAATGGTACTGGTACTTCATGTACGGGACTCGTGGCTAGATCTCTCATTTACTCTCATAGACATTTATTGTAATGTAATGGTATGTTCGATGTCTCGACTAATTATTGACTCAAAAAATTATTGCACCCTCGTTTCTCGTGTTGAGGGTAAAATCTTGTATAGATTAAATAGTAAAATAATAAGCAATATAATGAATTGGGTTATTTCTCTTAAACCAAACTGATCTAATAGAATTGTATAACTCAATGTAGTGTTGTAGCTTACTAAAAGTTCAAACGAGCAATTTGATCAAACAACAATCGAATCTAATAATTTACTTTCTCAAACAAACTACCATCCCGAAGCAAATGGTAAAATTTCGAATGGATTAAATATTGAGTAATTAGCACATTGCACCCTTACTTTTTACTATTATTGTGGAAAACATAATTACTTTTTCATTTTTTGGGATTTTCACAATTTCCACATTTCATTGCTCAAATGGTCATTTTTATCTATTTTTTCAATTAAAGGCTGTAAAATGACGAAAATACACTCATTTAAATTTTAAAAGAAAAAAGGGCAAAAAAAAAGTTAGCAACCATAATCCCAAATTTTTAAAAAGTACAAACAAGTTTCAAATAAATTAGTAAAATGGTAATTAGAACAAAAAGGGATCTTTCACTATCACATTTGATTGCGTAAACCATCATTTCTATCAATTTTCATAAAATTTCTCAATAAAAAAGTTATGAAATGATGAATATACACTGCTATTTAAATTAAAAAAGAAAAATAGAAATAAAGAACTAATTGCAACCATAGTCTCAATTTTTTTAAAAAGTGCAAACAAACCCCAAATAAATTATTAAAAAAATAGAAATTAATTAAAAAAAAAAAGTGTCCCAAATAAATTATTAAAAAATTAGAAATTGAAAAGTGCAAACGAGTCCCAAATAAATTATTAAAAAAAATTAGAATTTAATTTTTTTCTTTATTTATTTTATTTAAATTGGAGGATATATTTGTCGTTTCACAAATTTTATTGAGAAATTGGATGAAAATTGATAGAAATGATGTCTTGCGTAATTAAAGGTGTAATTAAGGATGAAAATGACAAAAAAAAAAAAAGAAAGATGAAAGGTATAGACTTTTTCACAATAATAATGAAATATATGGACATTATGTACTAATTACACATTTAATAATTTATTTGGGAATATGTTTGTAATTATTTATTTTTTTATTTTTATTTTATTTAAATAGAAATGTATATTCATCTTTTCACAATTTTAAATTGAGAAAATGAATGAAAATAACAATTTGCGCAATGAAAAGTAATGATGTTTTCCATAATAATAGTAAGATGTTATGTGGTAAATACCCATTAAATATTCGAATAATAAATAATATATTAGGAATTGTGATATTTCTCATTCAATACTATCTAGTTTATTTTACGAAGTCTGCCCTAACGATATAAACATGGACATTTTTAGTCGTGGCCAATTTCACGTGTGGCATTTTAAATGACATTTTTATTCAAAGTTTTGCATAAATATACAAGATTGTTTGCAAAAATGACACAAATTTTTGTATTATTCAAAATTCAAAAAACTTTTTCCTACTTTTTAACCACACATTCTCTTAAAAACAATTATTCAAAACTCCATTTTCCACGAAAAATGGTTGTCAAACAGGGCTTAGTACTCCTTAATATGGAAATAAAAAATTGAAATATACAATGATTATTAACTGGTAAAAATAATTGTATTAAGGTTTTTATAATACAAAATTAGAAGGAATGTAATATTGGTAGTGACAACATTAATGATTAAAATTTATGTTTAGTGCCATGAAGGCAGTAATCCGTCGGAGAAATATGTTTCTCTTCGGATGCACATATTATCATCATCAAGACTTTGCTTGTAGCTTGGCGACAAAACCATTCAGACGACATGATTTTTCGACAA